GGGGGAAGGGGGGGGCGGGGAGGAGGCGGGGAGGAGGCGGAATTTTTTTTCAATAAAAATTATATTAAAAAATAGAGTATTTTCTCTTAATTTGACAAATACAAATGGGCTGGACATTGTGAATACAATGTTAACCTGATAATTTTCTTTATTGTCTTTATTTTTACTATTTTAGAAGTGAAACCTTTCTTTTATATTTAGAAAAAATGGAGAAATGTTGTGGAATATTTGTACACTGTATGAAAATGTATTGCTGTTATTGGTGTAGTAAAAAAGCTTGATGGTCAATATCTAACAAGCTGTATAGAAAGGACTTCCAGACAGAAAGAAAGGAGGGGGAAGAATCTGGGCATATAAGGAAAACACAATGAGATGTGGAAGAAGCAGGATAAGCAGTGCGTGACAAAATGTAAATTAATAAAAATGAATAAATTTGAAAAAAAGAATATTGTATACATAATAAATAAATAAATATTTAAAAAGAAAAAAGAAGAAATCTGAATCCTCTGTGCATATGAATAGAGACAATAAGTACTGGAGAGAATTTTCAGTGGTTAAGAATGCATAATGCTCTTGAAGAGGCCCTGAACTCAATTTTTAGCTCCTACACCTTGTAGCACACAACCACCTATACGCTAATACAGATCCAATGGGATCTTGAAACTCTAGTCTCCATGACTGCTGGCATTCACATATGCAAACACACGTGTATTAATAATTAAAAGTAAATAATTCAGAAATAGAGAAATTAGTTGTCCCTTAGTTACCCCTACACTTAATTATCCTGACAAGAAGTGTATAAGAATGCCAGGTGGTAATGGCACACACCTTTAATCCCAGCACTTGGGGGACAGAGGAAGGTGAATCTCTGTGAGTTCAAGGTCAGCCTGGTCTACAAGACCTAGTTCCAGGACAGACGGGGCTGTTACACAGAGAAAACCACACTCACAGAGAAACAAAAAAAGAAAAAGAAAAGGAAGAAAGACAAATGTCGTGTGTAACTAAAAGGAAATTAGAGTTTTTGTATTTATACCACACAACATTATTTGTCAGACACTATCATACAAGTATTGAGCTATAATTATTGAAAATTCTCATGTATAACGAACCTTCAAAACAAGTCTGAGAAACAAATAATAGAAAAAAATATCAGTGATGATGAGGCTTTCTAGGATGCTCAATCATCACACACACACACACATATTCTCTCTCTCTCTCTCTCTCTCTCTCTCTCTCTCTCTCTCTCTCTCTCTCCCCATGCTTTTCAAGTTGGCTTTGAACTCCAGCTCAAGTGTCCCTTTTGCCTCAGTCTGCCAAACAGCTGGATCCATAAGAGATCCCTAGATTACCACCAAATGTTTATTTAGTACTTACTATGTTTTTGAAGCTAACAATCAATATAAAATGATGTAGAATAAAACTTGGCCACGGGAAGCAAAAAATCCAGTTAATATATCATATAAACACTAAATTTAAATGTTTTACTTGTTTAAATAGTTCAGTGCTTTGTTAAACTTTGAAGGAAATAATTCTCTTGTCTTTTCACTTTTATGTCTCTTAGAATGTATACACATAAGACAAAATTTTAAATGATTATAAAATTAAAATAACCTAACAAAGCATATTATACCAATTTCTTGCATATCTTCCAAAAATAAATTTTTGATTAATTAACTTATCTTTTCTTCCTTTTGATATTTACTGAATACTGGCTACCATGTATGTAAATTTAGTGTCCAATGGAAGCATAAGAACTATGCTTCCTTTTTTTAATAGGGATGACTAGGTGAATTGGAAGTTTATACAAATGAATGTCTGCATGAATGAATAAATGAATGAGTGAATAAAATATTCCTTAAAAGATAAACTGTATTTGGATAATAGAAAAAGCTAGGGGAGGAAATCCTATCTGGGACAGGCAGTATGATGAAGAGCTTAATATTGAGTGAAATAAACATGAAACATTTAAGGAGAAATAACTACAACATTTTGATGGTAATGTAAGGGGCATAGATATACATATATTTGAACAGGAATACTTTTTTAAGAAATGCGTTAAAATTATTGTAAAAAGACTAAAGGTTGAGTAAGTTAACTTTTAATATTTCCTTTCTCTTAAATTATTATACAAGTAATGGGTTATAAAAGGAATGAAAGAGAAAAGGACCAAATATAAACTACCTAGATTATCAACAAATAGATGAACTTTAAAATTTCTAAAAAAAGATTGCAATTGGTACTCATTTTTTAACAGAAATGAAAAATACTTAAGAAAATTTAAGATATATAGTACGTGAGATATTTTATGGCTGAATTATAAAGCTAATTATTCAGTCTCTATAGTCCTTACTAGAGAACAGAGAACATCTGAAAGATTCAGATAAGCTCAATAGTATTTTAGAACAATTCAGCAATGACGGCTAATTCTGATACAATAGGAAAGGAATTTGAGGTGTCAACTCAATCGAGTCACTGAATATTCTACATACTTATAACAAAATATAGACCTGCATTTCAGTGTTAAAATATTAGGGTAAAAAAAGAGAAGTTGTATGCATGTTAGTGAAGATAAATGTACTAAACACCATAAGTAAATGCATCAGAAATATGAATGGAGAACAGAAAACAAAGCTATGTCTTACCTGTTCAGAGAAATGTTTCAGTAATGTGATATGTTTAATGAGATGATTTTTCACACTGGAAAATTCTGACATGCAATCAAATGGTGGCCTGCCAGGGAAGGGTGACAAAGAGATTCCATCAATCAGAGTTTCTTTGAATACAGTATTTTATTCCTTAGGAAACTGAAACTTGTAATTTAAATTATAGAGCGTTTTAGATAATGTGCAAATAGCTATATTCTAGAACATCACAGTAGTATATCAAGCATGTAACAAATTTAAATAGACACTAATAAATGTGGTATTTCTATAGTCTAAAAAGAGGGAGAGATGGCAATATAATTTTTTATACATATTCCCACATTCAATTTATTGAAAAAAAAAGTTTAAAGGTTGAGGAGGTTTGTCTTCTAGATTTCCTTTCTCTCGATTTACTTATTATGTAAATGACTAATTATATAAAAATGAAAGGAGGCTAGGCCAAATATAAATTATAATATTCATAAGTAGATGAAACAAATAAAAAATGATCTTATTTGGTATTATTTTTAACATAAACGAAAAAAGTATTTAAGATAAATTAAGATTTAGCTAAATGAAAAGTTTGGGTCTTCCTATTTATATCTAACATAGCTTTTAACCTTCTGCTACTGTGAGGCCTCCATGAGATGAAAACCCAAAAACATGCAGTTTGTGTGGAATATATCTTCTACTTCAACTGAATAATAGGAACAAAGTGATGTGTAACTCAGTGGTAGAGTATTTCCTTTGTAAAACCTTGTATTCTAAAAGTCTGCAATCAATATCTTTCAAAATGGACAATAATTTTGAGGTTGTCTATATAAAACAAACCAGAGAACACCATAGTGCTGGGTTTCTCTATATTCCCACAATGAATCAGTAAAAACAAGAAAAGAAAGAAAGAAAATTTATAGATCCCTCTAAATTTTTAGATTACAATGACTGGTGTTTGAATAAATGCTATTTTTGAGACCTACTTCTAAAGACTGTTATCATGGGCAAAGATTCAAATTACCTCTTTAAAAGTTATAATAAAGACTTTTTAAAAGAGTTAGCTAGAGTTATAATTAAGCTTTAACCACTAAGATGGTGAAAGTATTTCGTGAGGCTCTATAGGACCATCACCTGCAACTATATCCAGGGTCAAATGTGGTCAAAATTCTTGGGCCATTTTCATCCCATTTATTTTTAAGGCCAAAGCTTTTGAACAAGCAGAACTAACTCCCTAATTCTGCTACACCTCTTAATTTTCAACATAAAAATGGTCAATTTACATTTACTTAAAAATATAAGTTTAGGTACTTATGCTTAGGCAACTAGTACTCAATTACTTTATGTGACTCCAAAATGAATTTCTATAATTTTTTTCTACCTAAAATCAATGAAACTATTTTCAGTTTAGATGGCAAATGGAAGCATAACACAATGATATAAGCATCACTAAGATGCTATGGTTTCTATTTGTTATCATAACAAATATAAAACATTTAAAAGCTCAAAACTTCTATAATGAACTTTAAAATATATCTTGCTACCAGTAACAAAACATTAAAATGATGTTCTATCTTATAAACTTATAGTACTTATAAATCAATCTTTCATACATTGTAGGTCATTTGAGATAGTTCAAATAACTCATTATTACAGTTTAAACCTTTTATAACTATACCCTTCAAAAATGATAAATTATTCATGGGAAGAAGTCAGAGAACCAGATTTTATCATTTTGGTCATAATAATATTAGGTTTTAAATTCCTGAATTAACTTCAGTTCTCAAACATATTTTATTGTCTTTTTGTACAAATAACTAATCAGGTGTGTAAATCCTTTTAAAGTAAAGTTGAAATAATTATCAGGTCTCACACATTGATCTGATTAAGAAAAGCTGAGCCAGGTAAAAATATGTCACATTTTGAGATTTCAATATTATAACTAATAATGAAAAAAACATTTTAATTACATCACTTTAGAGTCATAGAAAAGAGTAATAATTTAGGATAAATAATAGCAATTATTTTCTGCAGGAATTAACAATTAAATTACTTCAGTTGACCCTTTTTGACAAGATAGTTGGTAAGCAAACACTGTGTTAAGACCATTTGTTTATTTGTTTTATTAAGACAATGTAGCTCTGCAGGCCTTGAAACTGGTATGCAGAGCAGGCTTGTCACTGTTTCACAAGTGTTGGGATTAAAGCATACTTCACCATGCCTGATCTAAGCCCTTATTATTCTTTAAAAATTATTTCTATCTTCTAAAAAGTGAGATAAGGTCCTGACAAAAGCACTAAAATATAATTACTTTCCAAGAAACTCTAAAATTTCTTAATTTAAAGTAAAGGAAATTTAAGATATTGATATGTTTTATTGTATACTCAGGGTAACATACCACTGTGATTTTTGAAGTTTTCATCCACAGACATTTTGATATACAAATACAAATATTATATTTTAGAATGTATAGTTTGTCTTGATGTTAGGGAAATATGATATTCAACACGAATCCCTCTTACTTAGACGTCACTAGTTTTTAAGCTTGAGTCTAGAAATAAAAATTACTATAAAATTTTAATATTTTCTGTTAGAATAAAGACAAATCTAAGATGGTATACTACATTTGAAAATACTGTATGGTAGTTGAGGTCATTTTCTATAGATTAGTATTCTGTGAAATACAGGTGGAACCAAACAAGACCCTTCTAATGTTACCCGGTTCCACCGATGAGTAAATATGTCCTTAATATTGGAAATTCAGTGAAAAAATGCAAGAGTGACTTTTAATACTAATACTATGATGCAAGATTTGCAATTTGACTATTTTAACAAAATGGGAAAACCAAATAAATTGAATTATCAAATGTTAATTTAACAGACTATAAACATTTGGGAAGTCTTTCTATTACTTCCTCTTATGGCTATCTTTACTTTAGGATCAATATAATCCTTTCCTTAAATTCAACTTATTGTAGAATACTTGCTTTTTGAGTATGCTTTCTGTGCTTGATTTCTTTCAGAAGTTTTGTAGATAGTTGCTTATAATAAGGTCAAATATAAAGAGAGTAGAGTAACTGCTAAGTTTGTCAAATTTCCTCTGGTATTATTTAAAATTTGAACCCCTGGGGAAATTTTGTCTTCATTCCTTATATGTGAATAAGATTGTTTCAAAATCAAATATTAGTTGAAAAAGAGAAAGGATTCGGAAAGGTAACATGTATTATAAAGGTATAATAATATACCTTAATATAATATAAAATGACAATCAAAACATAGTATCTTTTTTTCTATCTCTCTCCCTAATCTTTCTTACCTGAAAAATACAATACCTAGAGGAAGCTAATAGCAGAGTAATCTGTGAGATGACTCGTTTGTACATAGAACAAATATTATAGTTGTTGGTTAAAACAACAGTATAGATATCTACATACTAATAGTGTTAACTAAATATTACTACCAAAACAAAATTATAAATCATTAGTTTTATTTTACTAGTCTTTTCTTATTAACACAGAATTTTAGTAACAGGACTAACTCAAGTTAATTAAAAGTTCATAGTTTAATTAATACTCATACAAAGAGCATTTTTTTTTGCTGCAAAAGCCAGATATGATCATTTACTAGTTTGGTGTAACTTCTGAGTATTCCTCAAAGACTGTATAAACTTCACTGCCTTTTTCAAAGTGTGAGTGTAATTTAATGTATAAAGAGAACTGAAGGGAACTCTCATTTAAAAATACTACTTTTGTTGAATGAATTTTAAAAGTCATACGCTAAAATATGTCTTAATTTAAAGGAAACCATTTAACTATCTTGATCATCCTAGGGATATAATCAATAAAATGGCTGTAAACATATTTAAATGAAAGCACGTAAATACAATCTATTCCACACCTAAGATTTCTGAGAAGAAATAAAGGGGAAAATACAATTGTGTCATGGGTTTAAATATCAGATATTAGGAATTACCTTTCCAGAATGTTTAATATCATGTTGACAATATTAACCAGTTCAAGGGTAGCTGTAATAACGCTATCAGGAGGCTCTTCGTTAGTGCCATATAGACTACGTGCCAATCTTCTTTCCGATATTGTGACAAGAACACGATCAATAGCATATTCAAGTTGTTTACTTTCTTTTCCAAATCTGGTAGGCATCTTTTTGATATTCTGAAATTAAAGTGGAAGTTTGGGTGCAAGAAATGAAGAAGTACTTTTCTAGAACGTTATAAAAATGGAACAGATCCAATATCAACATCATTCAGTCAAAAAATGAAAGATGCAAAATTATCATCAAGCACTTTTCATTCTTTAGACATTTTTCTAGTAATAGTCATATCATCCATGGCAGTGGTCAAAAAAAGAGAGAATAAGGTTTTATAATGTGACATAAATTAAGCTACAATTAATAGTTACTATTTTATATAATGAGTTAGTATACATAATTCATGCCTCGATAATGCACAATCTGTTGAGGCAATAGGCCCTACAACACTACTTTATAATCTAGATAGATTTGTTATAGATTTAAAATATAGGAAAAGGGATTCTTAATTTCCATTTATGTTCAAGCACTAGTAATTTTCTGTAGAACATTATAAGAATTAGTAATTTAAATATACACAAACTAAAAGATTCTTAATTGGGTTTTGTTACTTCAATCTATCAAATAAATGAGATTTGCATTAACATGTATAAACACACTATCATTCATTTTTATCCAGAGCCTCATCAAACAGCTATCAGAAATGAGTAGAGAGTTGAAATAATGACTCCACATGGCCTCCACTTTAGGAAATATAACTTTAATTTCCATATATAATGTCCAAGAAATAATAAGTGCTTTACTAAGTGCTGAGATGATCTGTTTAAAAAGAATTTCTCTATTAGTCTTTGAAAATCTGAGGACCAGGGATCTTTTATCATTTAAGAAACAAGTTTATGAGGTATTTGATTCTGAGTCCGATATCAATTATATGCAGTTCATTTCCCATGATTTCTATGAACCAAAAATTTATGTACAACTCTCTTCAATTGTTACTACTAAACATATGATCTATTATGTGACACACTCAAATTTTCACTTTTAGCAATACA